TGCAGATTGCACCTTCTTGGAATGTTGCCTAGAGCATTGAAAAGTTAAGAGCTTTACCCAGAGCCACACTGCTAGCATGTGTCACTTGCAAGTCCCATCTGTTAGGGGTAGAGGTAATAACAGCTGTAGTACTTACTTACGAGGACAGTTGTAAGGATCAAATCAGATCATGTTTCCAAAGTGTTTTGCAAGTATTAAAGGGCTATAAAAATGGTCTGTTATTTTCTTCTATTAATACTCCAGGTGAGTTTCAGCAGTCCTTTAGCACCCATAAGTACAGTACACACCATATAATCCACTCCTTCCCTCAAATTCATTAGACTGCGGGCTCCTTGAGAGCAGAGACTGACTTTTACCTTTCTATGTATCCACAGTGCTTGACACAGTGCCTAGCACATAGTAGGTGCTTAATAAATGTTTATTTAGTGCCTGACAAATTGGTGGTTCCCATTAGTCAGCATCAGAGAGAGTTAAGGATAAGGTCATGAGAAGGAAGCAAAAATCAATCACCACAGGAATTAGAGAAAGTCAGCAACTCCTATAACACTGCACCTAGTTATACTCTCAGAGTCTCCACAGAATAGCAGCAGAGATTCAGGGATAGGAGATCAGGAAAAGTCGAGAGCCCTGGATGAAGTCACCTCTACTGTTTCTGGTCAGACCAGGTCACACACTTCTCATCATGTCCCTCAGTTCCTCCCCTCAAGGATGAGGCAATACCTATCTATCTAAAAGCTTAGTTTGAAAGCATGAAGAGTTCAGTCTGGAATAAGGAGAGCCTAACTCCACTGCAAGAATAGGCCGCTTCTCTATCGTTGCGCAGGCTGCCCTCCATGCCTGGAATGCATATCTACCTTCCCTCTGCCTCTTAGAATCCCTCTCTTCCTTCAAGGCTCATCTCAGGTGGGTCCCCTCTTCTGACTAGAAGCCTTTCTAGCCTGAAATGATTTAGTATTTACTTATCTGTATATACTTTGCCTACCCTCCAAAAAAAAATTATAGTTTCTTGAGTGAAGAGATAATTTTACCTTTGGTTTTGTGTTCCCTACACCTAACAAAATGTTCTGCATGCAATGAAATTGAGAATAATGGAACAGAATGGAATTGAATGGAATGGAGATCAGAAGAAGTCATTCCAGTATGGCTGTGTTAGGTAATGAGCAAATTCAGGTCTGCTGATATCTGCCTAGTTCAGTGTTCTTCTCACCACCCTAACCAACTAAGCCTACTGAATTAACTAGCTAACATGAGTTACATGGATACAAAAAGAGATTATCCCCTCATCCACAGCATCAGTGCCCATGGCATCTAGCTGCCACACAGTCCCCCAAAGCATCATGGATGGATGGAGTAAGGAAGGGGTCAACCCTAGAGGCACAAGTTAACGCAATTCTTCCTCATATCTCTGTAGTGAAATTCCTTACCATCCCTCAGAGCTAAAAGAATCTTTCTTGGGCATCACAAAGCTAGGTCCATGGCTGCTCCCACAACCAAAGACTTATAACCACACTGGAGCTCTTAGAGGTCATTACCCCATTTGAAAACACCTGGGTGATAGGTGGGAGCTGCCTCTTGATGCTAATGACTTAGGTGAGGAGAGACACTGAAAACAGCCTGAAAATTCAGCTGAGTCCATGGTTGCTCCAGAGTTTCCATAGCAACAGTAGACATTCCACTCTACCCTCAGGCTGCTGCCAGGGACTTCTTTTCTTAAATCAGTGGAAGAGAAGGGAGGGAAAGGAGGACACTTCCATCTGTTTCAGCATGTCTATGTACCCTGTCACTAGCTGACTGAACAGTTTATTGCTATCAGGCCAGACAAGTGTGGTCTAACCTTCAGCTCTTACCATCCTTAGCCATCCTGGTTAGCTGGCTTAGCTGGTGACATTGATACAAAATAAAGAGAATGCATTTACTGTAACTATTTCAAATACTCTCTTAGTACAAAATTTTTATCTGCTGTGTCCTGTGCAGATACCATGCTTGTCTCTCAAAATGTTTTGATGTTCAGGCAAACACCTTTGAAAATCCACGATGGGAAGAAAGAGAGTTTTTCTTTCCAGAGAAAATTGATAGGGCTCTCAGATACCAAGGAAGGAAATCAGGTGTGGTGGTTGCTTATTGGTGAGTTCAAAACTGTACTTTCTCTATGAATAACACGAATAAAGGACCTTTACACATGCTATGCACATGGCATGATTTGATAGGGCTCAGGAAAAGTCTTCCTGACTTAAAGGCTTCCTTAACCATTGACCTTGAAAGAGGGAATACTATGAATAAAGAGGATTGCAGAATCTGAGATTTACATAGTTAGATGATTGAGCTAATCTGGTGGACAGAAGGTTGGATGATGAATGGGTGGATGGATGGATAGATAGATAGATAGATAGATAGGTGATAAGACAGCCAGATAGGTAGATAGACAGACAGATGATAGACAGATAGATAATAGATAGATAGATGATAAGACAGACAGGTAGATAGACAGACAGATAGATGATAGACAGACAGATAGATAGATTGATAGATAGATAGATAGATAGATAGTAGATGGAGCATGGCAAGGAGCCTAGAAGGAGAAGCATGAAGCCTTAGGAAGATAAGGAAAGAGATTCACTTATCAGAACCTGGAGGAGCCAGAGATTTAGATTTATGGTTGAAAGGGGTAGATGCCATCTAGAACCCAACATAAGTAATTAACAATAATAATGATAATGATAAGCTGTCATTTATAGAGAGCTATGAGATTTCCAAATTGCTTTACATATTATCTCACTTGATTCTCTCAACAGTCTTGTGAGATATATGCTGTTACTTTACCAATTTAGCAGGTTAGGGAATACATTAAGCTATTGGCCAGTTACCTAATAACCTATCAGAGTACTAAAGGAATGAGATATAGGATAGATGAGTTCTGACAGACCGAAGAAGGAAAGAGTAAGAAAAAGATAATAAATAAGGCATCTTTGGTAGCTGCAGATGTGTCTCTGTAGTGTGGGAAAGTGGGGCCACCTGAGGTTGGCATTTGGGCACTGATATCTTGGGGACCAGGGAAGCAAAAAGAGAAACAGAGGAATTGAAGACAAAATTATGTAAGCACTTTGCCATTTTGACTAAGACAGCTGTATGTAGGTGAAGCTGTTTTGATAGCTGGCAACTTCATAATTCTTTCCTTCAGACCACTGCTGAAACATCTTGCTGCCTTCAGTGAAAGTGATCTAAAAATGTAGATTTAGGAATGTGCTGGAGCCAGCTCAAACCAGCTCATAAGAGCCTATTGTAAAATTTTCAGTATGAGCTTTTATAGCTCAGAACCTCTACCAATAAAGGCCTGATTTATTGGGGATTTTTTTGATTATCTATATTTAAGAAAGTGATGGAGAAAATGTTAACAATGCATATTAGAGTAGAAAGTGTTTCATGCATACAATTTTTTTTAAGAACTGGTGGTTCAACGTATACCAGCACACTAATGTCAGTCAAAGTGACAAACCACTAAGTTAACTGACAACTATTTTTAAAAATATTAAAGAAAACAATTTAAAAATTACCCTACCACCTCTTGCCCAATGCACAAGTCACTGAAGTTTGAGATTTACCATCTGTGTTCTGAAATTTATTTGTGTCAAAGTACCAGGCATGGTAATGTTGTAGAAGATTAATTAGTAGAGCACTCAGAAGTCTGACAGTTTCTTAAACATTTCTCCTAGAAATAGACTTAGCCTTAGAGCGAACAATTTGTCCACAGGCTCATATGGCATCTACTTTAATGATAATCAACCAGTTGCACTGAAACCAGTGTCCCCGAGTTATGAACACCAGCACCACTCTGTAGCATGTATCTTAGATGAAGGTGTATTTCACATCACTCCCCGTCATGATCTAATTGCTCCCAATACATGGCACTTTTGTACTTTTGCACAGGTGGGCCTGCATTTTTGGATGCATTCTTACCTCACCTCTGCATGAGGCCTGTCCTGATCCCCAAATAGCTCTCTTTCATGAAATTACTTTGTACAATTTTGTATTTAATTATCTGGGTATGCATTGAGTAGGTTCCTTTTCCTGTTTAGTAGAATGTGAGTTCCTTGAGGGCAGAGAGTATCTCATTTTGGGCTTTGCATTCCCAGTGCTTAGCACAGTGCCTACCACATCCCCTGTTTCTTCTGGATTCTGACCAGCCCAGGAGATGGTGAGGACCTTCTCTAGCCAGGTTTCTTGCTTTTACTTATTTTTCTTGCAACCCTTTTCCCTTTCCATTACTGGGTGATCATGTATGGTCATGTATCCTTGCCTTGCATTTAAGTGGGAACTTAATAAACATTTATTGAAATGAATTGAGTTGAATTCAACATTAAATAGGGAAATTTCATGGACTACTCAGGCATCTATAATACAATGAAGCCTATGTTCTACCCCATCCAGAACATAAATGACTGAAGGTTTATCTCAATGAGTGGTTCAAATGGGTATAGCTCTTTAAAGGAAGAAAAATATGTCAAATAACATATAAAAGAATCCCCACATTTGCCTTTGCTACATACAGCTGCCGCCTGCAGACATGCCACCCGTCATAAGCCCAACATTATTGGAGATGCACACACCTGAATGGCAGCAAGTTCTAAAGGATTTTCCAGTGTGACAGGAGACAAGCAGGCATTTAAGCACCAGAGCACACTTCACTGAGATCATAGTGAAATGGGCCCTACACGGGCAACAAGGGTTTATAAGGTACCAACATGGTTGGAACCATGTCTCCTGTTTCTTCTGGACACTGACCAGCCCCTGAGACGGTAAGGACCTTCTCTAGCCAGGTTTCTTGCTTTTATTTATTTTGCTTGCAACCCTCTCCCCTTTCAATTTCTGAGTAATCCTTTATGGTCATGTATCTTTGCAAATATAAAGCCATTTAACCAGTGTGTGTTCACATTCACCCAGGATGTGTTTGATTTTCATAGAGGACAGTGTCCTGAGATAGAGATTGTGGGTAATTCTGCTCCTCCTGAACATATGCCCCTAGTTAGGAAAAATAGGGTACTGTGAATAGAAAGGCAGCATGGTAATTCCAATAATGGGTGTTTGTGAGTCTGAAACAACTCTTTGAGTAGAGTGAAGTATTGCTTTCCATGGTTATTGAGAAAGAAGTTTGTCTCTCTATGCCAATGGAAGGGGCTGTCCCTGGAAGAGAATATTCAACTAGTCTCTAAGACATTCCTTTATCTTTATACCACCACCAATCACAACTTTCTAACATCCCATATACGTTTATTCCTCAGACTTTTTGCACATGATGGTTTTTTTGGGGGGGAGGGAAAGAGTTGGTGCTGTTTTTCTGCCCTCTCTATGTCTAAACTTAATACCTTAAGAGGAAATGGAAATGGAGGTGACATTTCCTGCATGGATGGTTCAAACAATTCACACCTTTGAAAATGTTCCAAAGTCTGTATTATACCAACACACAGGTCTGAAAAGTACAATGATTAAGGATTAACAATAATCTTAGCTTCATTTCACTATTTTCATTCCTTAAAAATATATATTCACAAGGACTAGTATGTAAGGGTTGGCCACTAAGCTCCCTTTAAACTTGACAACTCTGTGACTCTGTGAATTGGTTGTCTTTTTCAAACTAAAACCAAACCTCACTGATCTTTTGTAAATATCCCATCTTTGAGCCAGGAAACAGGATTGTCAGTCATTTTAAATAGACATATCCCTAAAGAAAGTTACCCAAAGACCATTCCTCCCTTCAGCAACAGAGTTATACAAGTAGCACGTGGGATGGGATTGATTCGGTCTACGGCTGCATCTCTAATTGTGAGAAGTCATGTGCCGGGATAGATGGTGGCGCTCTCGGAAATACTCATGGCAAATTGCGCAGGTCAGCTTCTCTTCCCGTCTCCTCTTGGCCTGCACCTCAGAAGAGGAGTATTCCTTCTTGTGGTGTGATCGCATGTGGAAAACCAAGTCGGATGTCATACGGAAGGAGAGGTTACATTTCGCACACCAGTTCTGGGTAGCCATGCCAAGTGATGTGAACGTGGGTGGCAAGAGCGTCAAAGACGGGGAAGACGGGGTGGAGGAGGCAGACGATGGAGATATGTGTAACTGAGCTACAGGCTTTGGCCACAGTTCTGAGGCATATGGGAAGGTGTTGCACTGGGGGGCCCACTCCTGTAACATTTGTAAGTTGCACAAATCGCTGATGGAAAACTTGGAATTCAAAAGATTTCCACAACACATAGAATCCATGGTGTTAATGAACCCTGACAGATCCCCCAGGGCTTCTGCCGAGTTGCTGACTGGGGGCTGGGAGCTTAGTGCTGTTCTCTGGGCCAGACACTTGACTGGTTTGCTGAAAGCGCTTCCCAGCTCACCCAGGGCCCGGGCAGGCCACACAAAGGAGAAAGCACTCTCTGCTCCACTCAGGACACAATCCATTGGTTGCTGTTCTTTGCCAACTTGGTTTGAGCCAGGTCCTTGGTCCCCATCTCTGGCTCTCTCACTCTGAAGTTTGTCCTTTAGTCTCTTGACCTCAGTGAAAGCACTGGGCTTCTGGTCCCAGGGGGCCTTCTTGGATGACTGCTTCACTGGGCTGAGCTTCCATATGGCAGCTGACAGCACATGCTCAGTCCCTCCATCCTCCCTGCTGCAGGGAACAGAGGGCAGTCTCTTCCTCAAGTGGTTTGTTTTCTCCAGCAACACCATTTTCTGGACCTGGCTCTGCTCAGCTTCATCGGTTTGTGTCTTCTTTTCAGGCAAAGGGCTGTGCAGAGTATTTTCCTGGGTGGCCATTTTGACCTCCAGGTCTCTGGCTAGGTTGTGGAAGTTAGTAGATTGGTCCAGATCCCTGGTATGGGGAGCTTTGGGGTCTGGAGGGCTCATCACCAAGGGGGCTTTCCCTGGAGAACACAGGAAGTGAATGTGCGAGAGATAGGAATGCTCACACTTAAAGGTATGGTTGCATTTGGGGCATCTGTAATCTGGGTAGAGAAGAAACAAAATATTATTTTATGAGGGTTTTTTTGCAGAATATGAGTCATTTAGCATAATCTGTAACTATTTCCCCCATAGACTCAGTTTACACTAAGGCCAGTTTCTCAGTGCCTCTCTCTGTCCCTCTCTGTCTCTCTCTATCTCTGTCTCTGTCTCTCTTTGTCTCTGTCTCTCTCTGTGTGTCTCTGTCTCTGTCTCTCTCTATCTCTCTCTCTCTCTGTCTCTCTCTCTCTCTGACCTCAGTTTTAGAAATTTTCCCCAGATAAGATGATTGAAATATTAGCCCCTGACATTTAGCTTGTCAAACCTTTTCAGAGGTTTTCATATCTCTCTGATGGGGAATGACTGATACTCAGATGCCCACATATACCATCTCCATGTTTGACTAAGCAAATTGCTCTACATCTTTAGGCCTCAGACTCTCCATACTTAAAAAAGAAAACAGGCAATAATACATGGGAACCTTGCAAAGAAAGATAGAATAATAGCAAAGGCATGGCTTAAGCAACCTATGGAGGGGCTGAAAAGAGACCAAGAAGTGTAGACAGGTCTCAATGTGAACACTTCCACCATAGCCTATGAATGATTCATCTATAGCTTACAGCCTTAGATATTTGCCTAGGGCACTGAGAGGCTGCCCACCATCATTCAGCTAGTATGTGTCAGAGAAGGACCTTGAACCTAGCTCTCAATCTCCTATCCTTCTCATCATTAGCAAAAAGCAATTACTACCCCCCCAAAAAAATAAATAAAGATAATTACAATCATCCAACTAACCAAAACCATTAATCCATATTCCCCCTTCCCCAAATTTCACTTTTTGGAGAAAAAAGAAACTCATAAGAATATAAGATATTAAGGATTTTATTAAAATAAGTTCTAGGAGATATTGAGAGGAGGAGGTATCATTACACCAACATCTCACTTGCCTTTGTCAGTATCTCCAGTTATATACCAAAATTACAGACTTTTATCAAAATCAACTTAGAAACATTTAATTTTTATTCATCAAGTTCTATTTACTAATGCAAAAAAGCAAAATAATACTATTTAGAAAGATGGACAAGAGTCATATGAAAAAATGCTCTAAATCACTATTGATTAGAGAAATGCAGATCAAAACAACTCTGAGGTACCACATCACACCTATCAGATTGGCCAAGATGACAAAACAAGAAAATGATAAATGTTGGAGAAGATGTGGGAAAAATTGGAACACTAATGCATTGTTGGTAGAGTTGTGAAATGATCCAACCATTTTGGAGAGCAATTTGAAACTATGCCCAAAGGGCTATAAAAATGTGCATACCCTTGACCCAGCAATAGCACTTCTAGGACTATATCCCAAAGAGATCATCAAATGGGAAAAGGACACACGTACAAAAATATTCATAGCAGCTCTTTTTGTGGTGGCAAAGAATTGGAAATTGACAGGATGCTCATCAATTGGGGAATGGTTGAGTAAGTTGTGGTGTATGAATGCAATGGAATACTATTGTGCTATAAGAAATGAGGAACAGGTTGACTTCAGAAAAACCTGGAAAGACTTGTATGATCTGATGCTGAATGAAGTGAGCAGAGCCAAGAGAATGTTGTACACAATAACAGCTACGTTGTACAATGACTAATATTGATAAACTTAACCCTTCACAGCAATACAAGGATCTAAGACATCTCCAAAGGCCACGTGATGGAAAATGCTATCCACATCCAAAGAAATAACTATGGAATTTGAATGCAGATCGAAGCATACTATTTGCTATTTTTTTTCTCTTCTGTTGAGTTTTGTTTCCTCTTTCTGGTGGTTCCTCCTATTGATTCTAATTTTTACTTACAACATCACTAATCTGAAAATATGTTTAATAAAAAAAGAAAGATGGACAAGAAAGAGTACAGGTTATAACCAAAAGGGGTTTCTTTTATCTGCAGTTATATAGAAAATGTAATAGCCAGGATATATCATTCCTTAAGTTTTCTAGTAAAAAGTTGACAGTGTTAAGCAAGTCAAGGTAAGTGTCACTGGGCTTGGTGTTAAATAGAGAGCTCCAGAAAGAAATGTTCCCTGCCATCCAGGCTCTTACAATCTAAGACTCTGTCCTGGACTTTTTTCTCTTTTTTTACTTTCTACACTCTCTTTGACACCCATATGTCTAATTATCATTTCTATGCAGAGTTCTTCCATCTCTACAGTATATATCCAGCCCTACTCTTTCTCCCTAGCTCTGGACCCATGTCACCAAACATCTATTGGACATTTCCAACTAGAAGACCTATAGGCATCTCAAACTCAACATTTTCAAAATTGGATTCATTTTCTTTCCCACCAAACCTATCTTTCTTATGAATATCTCTGTGTCTGGCAAGGGCAATCCCATCTTTCTAGGCTTCCAGGTCTGCAACCTCAGTCATTCTCCACTAGAAAATGACTCCTCACTCTCACTCACTCCGTGTCTCCAGTAAGTTTCCAAATCTTATAGTTTATATCTCTACAACATCTTTCACATAAATCAATTTCTCTCCATTCATTCAGCCACCACCCTAGTTCAGGTTGTATATAATTCCGGTCCCTGCCTCAAGTCTCTCACCACTCCAATCTAACTTCCACATAGCTGTCAAAGTGATTTTTATAAAGTTCATGCCCAAAGCTCCCCGACTCAACAAGTTCCTGGGGCACCCTATTACTTCCAAGATCAATGACAAACTCCTTTGTTTGGTATTTAAAGCTCTTGATAACTACATCCCATTCAACCTTCCCAGCTTTATTGTAGCTATTCCACATCTACCACATACCCTTCCCTGTGGCTTCACATTGGTTGTCCCCTACACCTGGAATTCTCTTACCTTCCATTTCCACCTCCTGACCTCTTGGACTAATAGTATTGTGGAGTCATATATTTAGAGATGAAAGGGACCTTAGCAGCCATCTAACCTAACCCCGTCATTTTATTGATGATAGAGACTAAGGCCCAGATAAGCTAAATGATTTACCCAAAGGTAATGAACTGGCAGAGACAGGTTATAAACCCAGGTCCTCTGAGTCCAAATTCAGCACACTTTCCATGTTAGAAACAGCTAGGTACCACAGTGGATAGAGCTGTGAACGTAAATCAGGAATATTAAGATAAAATCCAGCCACAGATACCTATTAGCTATGTGACCCTGGGAAATTCATTTAACTCCTGTTTGCCTCAGTTTCCTCATCTATAAAATGGGGACAATAATAGCCTCTACCTTCTAGAGTTGTTGTGAGGATAAAATGAGACATTTGGAAAGTGCTTCACAAACCTTACAGTATCATATAAGTGCTAGCCATTGTTGTTGGTGATGGTGTTGTTATCCCATCTATAAAATGTATATAGTGCTTTAAGATTTATAAGCACTTTAAATATATTTTCTCACAACTCTGGTAGATACATTGGCGCTACTATCATCCCCCTTTTACAGCTAGGATATAGAAGGTAAAAGAGATTAAATGATTTGTCAAGGGTCACATAACTAATAAATGTCTGAGTCAGGATTTGAACTCAGATATCTTGACTTATCTGCTATACCATTTAATTTCCAGCTCCAGGGTCAATATCTGCATGAATCCTTTCCTGGCTGTCCCAGATACTAGTATCTTTCATTCCCCATGTCTTTTGTATGTATACATATACATACACACAACACACACATACACATTCATATCCATGGGTATATGTTTCTCCTCTCACTACAATGTAAGCTCCTTGAGGGCAAGCATTATTTTGGTTTTGATGTTGTATCCCTAGTGACTAGCACAGTTTCTGTCATACAGGATGGTTAATAAAAGCTGATTGATTAAGATACTAAGAACTACTGTAAAGGAGCATGGAGAGGACCAGGGTATAGCAATGTCACACAGCTACTGAAACGTTGGGCAGGAAATGGTTAAACCCCGCACTATTTCTATATCTCTGGTTTACTCTGCCTATTGTATTGATATGGAGACATTGCAGCATTAGGATGAATATTCCCTGAGAATAAGATACCAGGCTGAGGGAGCCCTTCAATACAAGACACAAAACAGGAACAAATTAATCCAGACAAGATAGGGTATTGGCAGAGATAGATGAGTTTCTGATACTATGTGAATAATGTAATTACTAAGTAGCAAAAAAAAAAAAAAACCTGAAACCACAGATTCTTCCAGAAAAAAGATGTTCAAAAATAATTAGGGACAGGTTATTTATCAGGCAGTAAAATACCATAATTAGAGGGAGAAATCTGGGGGTATGTATCATAGGGGAAGAATTTGAAGCAACTCTATACTAAATGAATTTACATCGGTACAGTCTTTAGGTTATATAGTAACTAAAGAAGAAACAAAGATTCCAGATTGCTAGAATCCGCTGAAACACTCTTCTGTTGACATTGTGCCCAATTCCATGGAGCAGGAAGTTAGAACAACAAACAGGAGTTGTATTTGAATGATATATCTGTCAAAAGTATTTTGGTGTTCAGAATACAGGCAAGTGCATTTGGGGAGTAATGAGCAGAAGGAGAAACCACAGGAGATCTACACCCAGGCAAGTCAGGAAGAAGACAGCTGTCATGTCTCCTCTAATCAAGGTAGGAGGGCTTCAATAAGGAGGTAGGATCTGAGGAGCCATTTGAATGATGGGAAAGAATTGGCTTGGTAGGATCAAGTGCGGACATTTCAGGGTCTAAAGATTTGGAGGTTGGATTGTGAGAATAAAATAAAGGAGTTCTGCATAAGTTGAGTCTTAGAGGAGGTGGTGAAAGTGAGGTAGTTCCCAGGTTCCCAAATTAAAAGACTTAGAGATCAAGTTGAGGATCTTGAGACTAATACAAAAGGTACTGAGGACAGCCACCATGAGGAGGGAGGAGATATGTAAAAATAATAGGCAGAGAAATTGACTGGCAGGGTACAATGGCCAAGGTGGGAGTCTAATGAATAGGAACATTATAATAAACTGAGAGATAAACAGGGACTAATAAAGACTAC